TGCGGAATCAAATTTGTGGTGACGAAACATTAAAATTGTGGGAAACGGCCTTCACTTATAATTGTTTGTCGAAAACAAGTGCTTTTGATTGGTACAAATTATTCACACTGGCGACGAACCACGTCAAGTGATGATCACCACGTCAATAAAATACAGGAATTGACGCTTGAGAAATAACTGGCGTCATATATCGGAAGGATCAGTGTAAACCATTTTGAAATATCATATGGGCCTAAATGTAAAAGCACGATTGGTTCCAAAGTCACTCAATTTGTAATCGAAATTTACTTTAACATCTGTTTCAAGGATTGGAGAAAACGTTGGCACAGGTGTAAAGGTTACAAAGGGGACTACTTTGAGATGGACGACATTGATTTTGAAGAATAAATGAAGAATTTTAAAATTATAAGCAAAGTCTTATTATTTTTTGCTCATAGCATTATAGTTACCTAAGAAACTGACGGAACAAAATCAGTTTCTTGCATAGGAACTTTTTTATTTGCGAAGGGTATTCTAGCTCCGATGGCACCGAAGATACATTTTTCTTGTTTTTTATTTATTTACAATATTTTTGTTAAACTTATTTTCTTAGCTTATAAGCAATATTGCTGGCCGAGAATTATTGGCGCAAGAGCTCCGATACGCTCTACTGTGATTAATGTAATAAAGTTATGGCGGATATTTTAACAAAGTAACGATACTTTTGTTACTTTCATTTACACATACATACATATATGTATGAATGTTTGTTACATATACATATACATACATACATACATATATACTATATGTACGAAAATACGATTTTAGCCTGTAAAGCGCGTTTGCCAGCTGTTGTAAGCGCTGCTTTAGTCGTCGCAATCACTTTGTGTATTATTAAATAAGTATTATAATTTTCCTAAAATTTCTTATAGCTATTGTAGTGCGGTTGGTTGTTGCTTTTCTTTTTGCACCGTTTACTAATTATTTCGTCGTTGCTGCTGCCAATTTGGCTAGTGCTTCGACTTTTCGGTTACTCATTGACGCGACGATTGTTTATGGTAATTGTTGTTGTTGTTGTTGCATGTATTGCCGCTGCTCGCTAGTAGAAACTACGTTTTTCATTCACAAAGCAAAATTTTATCAAATTGCGTAACACTTTCGCAGTGTAATTCTTTATTTTTATTTTATTTTATTTTTGTATTTTTTTTTTTTTTTTTTTTTGAAAATTATGCTTATAACGGTTGTTACCGAAATTTACATATGCTCACATATACGACTTGCGTAGTGTTACTTTTTTGTTTTTATTTTCTTTTGTGGAAGGGAATTCTTGAAATACAGAAATACAAAAAATGTTTGAACGCTATAAATTTGGCTATTTTTTAACACTGTCACAAAGGCAAAAGGCACAAACTGGCAACTTAAGTTGGAACGTGTGCACGCACTGCCCTAAAAGTATTGACATGCATACAATCATATGCACAACGGTACATGCTAAATACACTATTAGAACATATTTATTTTTCTTAAAATATTTTTCAGTTTTCTTTTTTTTTTTTAATTTTTTTTTTTTGTAATAATTTTTTTTTAAATATTTTTATAATTATTTTTTTTTTTAACTTTTGAAATTTAAAAAAAAAATTTTCGACTAATTTCTAACCACCGCGACTCCAGCTGCTAATAAATATATGTATTTAAAGATAATATATTTATTTGTATATCTGTGTTTATATGATTTTCATATTTTATTGAATTTACTTTCAATCGAAATTTTACTGCTTTATTGAAATTTTCACATAAAAGTGCCGTCGAAAAGCAGCAGAAATTTTTAGCTGTGTTTTAAAAATAGCCGCATACTTTAAAAGTTTCTGGCGGCACACAGACAACACTCACATACGGTACATCGCATTGAAGATTTCAATTTTCTGCAGATACCATAAATCGTTTGAACTCTGCACTCCAAAAAATTACTTTCCACTTTTTTTTACAAATTTTAAATAATTTTCAAATCAAATATCTGCTTTTTTTTAAATTACCGCATTAACTTGTGCTAATTCACTGGTTGTATTCCGCTGCAGCTTTTACTTTGAAAAAATCTACATATTTCATAGTGCTCATTCTTCCTAAAATTCAAAAATAACTGCCTCTATTCATCCCTTTCGCACCAATAGTTGACTGTGGTATTTGCACGTTCGCTCGTAACGGCGTTGTTGCGGCTCGGTAAGTTAGGAAAATCGTTGCGAACTCTCGTATGTCTGTCGAAGAACTGAATGTTCGTGTTGCGAAAAGTTCTCGGGAAACTCGTGAAAAGTCAAAAAATTAAGCAGAAAAGTTTAAGATCGTGAAAGTCTTTCACTCCTCAACTGAGTGCGAGCTGCCACAAGAGATACTTGTAGTCATTTGCTCGCTCTCTGTATTCCTTTTATTAAACTTGTTGTTTTTTGGGTATGATCATTGGATTTGCCGTTGCTAAGAGACACACGCGCCAACATCTGCATAACTACTAGGGGTAAGAATTTGACTCTAAACACTCTACTTAATTTTTCTTTTTTTGTTAATATTTTTTTAGCGACTGCAACAATTTGTTGAAACATACATTTGCACTCACTGTGAACATTTAGCGTTCACATAGACAATTTGGACGCATTTGTGTAGGTGGGCACAGTGGTAAAGAGCGCTGAGAAAACGAAATAAACCGAGATTTAAAAACCAACAAAAGTGTGATGTTTGCCACCTTGAAGGAACAGGTCTCTATAAATAATGCGTCTTAATGTATTCGTAAATCTTGTGCCACCACTGAAGTTTGGGGATATGGGGAGTTGCGTATTTAAATGGGCCAATATCTTGTCACGATAAAAATCACATACGCCACGATGTAGTACAGGTCGCCTTCGTGTCGGGCCTCCTGGGTAACGCTAAATAGCCTGTGGCCTTACCAACTCTCAGAATGGAATTCAACTTTGACATGGATTTTAATTAGGAAGTAACGTATTTGGATTTCGGTTTGAACACTGTGCCGATGGTTGCGATATTCTGCCACCGAAGTTTACTGCGGTGACACTCATCAGAAAAGGCTAATGGAGCCAACATTTGGACCATTTTAGGCGGCTACATTTCGGGGGACAGATAGCGGCTCTGAGTGTCACCCATTTAACTAAGAAATTTTCGAAAAAAACAAATGAGGAAAGAGGGAGTCGAGAGTCAAGAAATGAAAGGTGACCGAAACCGACACCCAGAACTATCCTAAGGAACGTAGGACCAAGAGCCACGAAAAATTCACCAAAGGATACATATACTTTAGACCCAGTATATAAGGAAAAGACGGTTAGGTCGTAGTCGGTAAAAATCTACTGACTTCAGACAAAACCAGCGCAACTGTACGCCGATATCGCCAGTACTAGAAGAAGAACCTCAGTTAGAATCGTGGGCAACACTAAGGGCACAAAGAATTCAAACAGACAGCGGAACAGACCAGCCAGAAAACAGAAGTCGTACCGACGGTTATCAGCCAATATTATAACATGGTATGGGAATGATAAAAAGAATTATACGCAGTAAGCGAACAGAATAAAATTATTCTACTTTTGGTTCCGAAACATGCCAGCAGGCAAACTAGCTAAAAAGGTAGTCGCCGACGGGACCAGAGCCCTTTTTCCCGCCCCTGGCCTTTTCCCAATACAATGAAAGTGAAACTGGGATATGCAAGAAAGAAAGCGGATACTGGTATAGTAGCGACGGAATGAGACGCTCAAAACAACTAATCGACTATTACAACACCTGAAGATTTAAAAATATTATTTTATTTAGCATATCTAAGAATACTAACAGGATTTCTTATGCACAGAATAGAAATGAGCACTGACGAAACTAGTCAGTTCTGTGAGCTAAATCGAAATATCGTTCACGAACATTTTATTATTCGAAGCTCTAAGTAAAGTGTTATTCGACGCAGCAAATCGAGGTCTTGTTCTAAAATACGTGGTATTTGCACTCCAAGTACGTTATTCACAGGGAGGTAGTCAATGATCGCATCCGAAATTTGATCACTATTTTGTTCCAGTTCATAGACGTGTTGGAGAAATGTTCTCTTGATATTCTTAGCAAGCGGCTCCGCTGCAGACATAATTTCCGCGAAAACACCCTAGCAGAAACAGCTTGAAGAGAAGCGTATTATGCTCCTTTTCAGGCAACATGCGAGCATCACAATGTAAATACTCGATGGGAAACATTCTATTATAGTCCGGTGTGGTGTGTACTGGAAGGTCTCTATTTTCTACATCTGCGACCTGCTATAACCAAGCAACCACATTGGGATGGCGTAGTTCATGAGCGGCCTTGTGTGTTGCCAACAACGTCTCTTTTTCCTTGTCGCAAGTTCTGCCATTGTTATGGGATGGAAACACGTGTAGAAGCTCACGCAAGTGAGGAAGGTTCTCTGGTTGTCATTCACTTGGGAGTGGGCAGAGACGATTATTTTACATATAGCTCAAGCAGCTCACGACTTCCGGTCTTAGACCAAGTATCCTCTGAGTAGCCAGAAAACATCCGTTTGAAGGCGACCTAAAGTGAGAAAGAGAAACATCCACTAAAAAGGGTTGTGCGCTGGGTTTTAGGGTTGTTTATCGTTGGAAATTCGACATCATTCTTCGGTCAATTAATAAATAGGGTTGCCGTAAATATGGTAGAAGTGAGTTAAGCTCGCAGCTTCACTTTTGGACACTTGCATCAATTTCATTGCCCGACGTCATTATTGGAAAATAATCTGCGTTTGAGGTAATAGAAACTTCTTCTGGTGGTTGTGAGTGCTTCGGAATTTGTGAGAAATCAAACTTAAATTACTAAAGCTGTCATATTAACTGTCCGATCAAAATCAAGCCCTTATATTTCTGGTTAAAAGTAATATTGACATGCTTATAATATTATTTCTAATTTTGCGAAGAATACCACTTCAGCCTAAACAATTTACAAAAGAGAAATAAGATATAAAGAGAGTATAAACGAACTGAATCAACGCTTAAAAATATTGTACATATTAATTTATTTACGTTTTAAATATATATATGTATGTATATTTATTTATATATATATGAATAAAGATGGTCATCACATCCATCCAAAAGGCAGATGTGACTCACATTTGTTGTTGATCTTGGTTTTGTTAGATTAGTAACAGTTTCAAGTGCTATGTAAATACAAATTTCCTTGCGTTGTAGTAATGATCATTTAATAAGTTAGTGGTAGTGAATGCTTATGATTATAATTTCATATAATAAAAAAAAAGTTGTAGAATTATGGGTATTATGTGAACAGAAGAAAATGTTAAATTAAAGTATACTTGTTCATGCCAAAAAACCAAAGATAGGCGCCTACGATGTAGTCGCCCACATTACCCGCCCTATCATGTTGTAGCTTTCGGTGCTTCAACTGGTCCGGTTGTATTTGTCGTGCCTGTCGCACTAGCTGTGTTCCCCGTAGCTGGAGTGGGGCAGCCTGTTGAAGAAACAGTAGCAGCAGATTCAATAACACTCGTATTCCCCGTATTGGCGTTGGTTGTAGTGTGCACTGTATCCGGATGATTTATTGGAGGCATAAATGAAATAGTGACCGACTCATCACCTGGTAAAGGTCCATTATTATTTTCACCATGTGTGTGTGTCGTCGTCCCTTTGTTCACATTAATATTATCGGCAGTGTTAGCATTAGAACTGCTAGAAGTAGCATTAACAATGGCATTAGCTACAGCAACAGCATTAGGTAGCAGTGAAATCACCGAATTGTTATTGAAATTTTCAATAGATGCACCCGACAATGATAATTCATCAGCCGAATCGTCAGCACCATCTGTTTGTACGCCTTTTTCCTCCAACATATGCTCATTAATACGTATGGGTTGGCTAGCGGAGCCAAATTGCTTCGAAATTTGTAGTAATTCACGTAAAATTTGGTTTTCCTTACGCAGTCTAGACATGGTTTCCATATCTCGGTGTACCGCATCATCATCTGCCGAGGCGGCACGCTGCATAACAACTGCCATTTCCCTGATTTTAGCTCTTTGTTCTCGTATTATTAACCACAATTCTTCATTATACACTTCTTTAAAATTAATTTTACTTTCGAGAATTTTACTGCTTGTATGTTCACGATATTTTTGCATTATAAACTCCAAGGTTCGTTCATAATCTTCAATGCATATTTTCAGTTCTCTATTTTCTTTTAATATTTCTGAACTTGTGGCATTTTGCTGTTGTATACGATTGACCATTTCGGAATTTGATTTATTGTTAGAAATTTGGTTTAATGAGTCCATGTCATCTTGAAATTGACGCAAACTTTCTACTAAGCGATTATTGCCCTCCGCTTCTACGAACAAAGCATTACCCAACATCTCTAAATCTTTCACGCGACTGGCGATTCGCTGTGCGTCCATAATAATCTGTCCCACAGACATATTAGACATCTTTGGTTGTAAAGTATGTGCTATATGGCCAACGTTGAAAGTGGTGTGTTGTCTCCTATGGCTCTAATTACTAGCCAACACCAATTTGGCTGTTATGCTCCGTGCTGTGTTTTATCGTACACTTTTGACAGCACTCCACTCAGCCCTACTGTTCAAGCAGCCACCGCTTCCGTTATTTTATCGCTCTTTTATCAGCTTCTATAGATATTTTATTTCAGCAACGATTTTTTCATTAGAGAATAGAACATCCAAAGTGACTGTATAAATTATATTTTAGAATTTTCTGCTTTTTGTTATTAATTAATGATTTTATGATAACTTTACAAAATGAATCGCTGAACAAAAAATGTAAAATCGTTCACTGACATTTGACAATTCGCCCTAATTATAAGTTGACAGTAGATAGCTTGCCACAGTGCGTGAAACGTGACATGTCTTATATACAACGAGCTGAAAGTTCTGCCAGTAAAATGGCATTTGTTACAAAATAATAAAATAAATATTTTTTGAAAATTTCGATCTTCAAGGAGGTCTTGAACAGCGCAACATAAGTCTTCGTAACGCGATTGTAATCATTTACTGAAACAAGACACTTATATATATAATATCTAATTTGAATAAAAAAAATTTTAATTTTTTGGTGTGTCGAGTTTCAAACTCCAAAAATTAATACAATTGAGAATGTTACAGATTTTCATATTTCATATTTTTAAAATTGAACTTAAAGATTAGGGTTAGTCATAATTTTAAATATATGGATTTTTTTTTTCTTCATTTATAGCACAATGTCTTAAATCTTTTAAATTCTCTAAATCTTGAAATAACTCCGACTAATACTTTCCGAGTTATTCGGTAATTAGCGCAGAATACCAGGAATCTCTAAAACGTTAGAGAGCAGGTACCGTAAATGAGTTTTTCTCCAAATTATTATTTAAACTGGTGACTACCATAGCTCGAAAACTGCATATTAGGTTGCAATGAATTTTAGACAGCTTTTTAACAACAGAAAATACTAGTACCTTTTTTAATTTAAATATTTTGACATTTTATAAAAATATTATTAGTTCTTTTTATCAAAAATATATGAAAATTTTTCGAGAAGAAATCAATTTGTTAATTTAAATAATGAAAACGCGATCAAGCACTAGCAAATCTACTTTTAGTAAAGATGTTGCCCGATTTAGATTAAATAAAGAATTAGTCATGGGTAACTCAAAGAGGYTTGGTTGTAACTGAACCAACACATAAGACCATTCTTTTTAATAATATTATTATTACTTTTTCAAATTTTTTATTTATTTAATGAATAATTTTAAAACATAATTTGCTAAAAAAAAATGATTTACAATTGAAATTTTTTAACTCTCTTAAACTTCTTCATATTATTTAAGTTACTCTTTGATTTGCATACTTAATTAAACGAATAATTTTAATATTTAATAAATACCAATTTTCTACTAGAACTCAGTGACTCAGAATTGATTATAACGAAATAAGTATTAGGTTTTGTAAGCAATTTACATGAAAAAATATTAGGATTCGATACTTTCCTAATCAACCCTAAGTGGAGACTAATTTGTTTAGAACGAAAATCGAAAGCAAATTATGCACAAAAACATTATTTGTTGTTGTACTATTATGGGAACAACAAGAACGAAAGCTACATCTAATCTCTCACTCTTGTGAAAACAAAAGAAAAAGCTGACATTGTCAAAGCTCAAAATAATGCTAAAAGCATAATAGAAAAGACATATACGAATGTCCAGAACGAAGGATTTCATTTCTGAATTGGATTTGCGTAGAACATTCGACTGAGTAATCGCGTAAAAACGAAAACAAAATTGTGATATTTGTTGTGAATAACTAAAAATATAAACATTTCAAAGAATTGTGTAGAAGAAATTTTTGTGAAATATAATTACATAAATTGCGCAAAAGGGGCTAGGTGTGGGTGGCGAAATTCGAAAATTCGTCGACTCATATCCAAAACCTCTACAAGCAGAGAATAAAAAATCGATTTCTAACTATGGCGTATAGTCAAAAAGTATATAATCCTGTGGCGATAAAAATGGCAAAACCATGCCACCATAAGAAGTGTGCTAAACGCGCAACAGCACCGCTTCATAGAAAAAATACACATCGAAATAATTTTTTACGAAATAGTTTCTCATTGAGCAACAGTAACAGCAAAGACAGTGCTGATGTTGATAGCGGTGGAGTAGTCGGTCACATTTGGTTTGGTAATAACCGCTTATCAAACGTAATTTACACGTTTCTACTATTAGCAGCATTAACGCATACCGCCAATGCAACGGCAACGGATATTGCGCTGGACGCAAAGGCCACACTAACACATAGAATTGATAGTCTTAATCTGTTGGTATATACCTTTTTGCTGACGCTAACTGTACTGACTATTTGGCTGTTCAAGCATCACCGTGTTTCCTGGTTACACGAAACTGGTCTTGCCGTTATTTATGGTAAGTTTTAAGCTTCCATATGTCAATATACAGCTATAATGGTGGCTCCCTCTCCAATCAACACGAACCTACAATTCTACTCGTAATTAAATGAAAAAAGCTTTTAACTACAACACAATAAATCGATTCATCAAATGTTGCGATTGTGTCAGAAGTGTTTTTTATACCCTGAACATAGTATGTTAAGTTTGCTATGAAGTTTGTAACACCCAGATGGACACATAGGAAATATATAGTATATAAATTATTAGTGTGATAAGCTGAGTTGATTTAGACGTGTCCGTCTGCAGTAACGTCACTATCTGACCACTATAGCACATAGCTGCCATATCGACCGACGGTACTCAAATCTCAGTAGGGAAATTTTTTTATTTGTAAAGGCTATTGTATCAGCCGAAGTTATTATTTTTCTTGTTTATAAAACACATCGAATTCAAGTCACTGTATGAAATTTTTTTTTTAATTTTTAAAGGGTATTATAGCTTAGGTAAACATTTCTCATGAACATTATACAAGAGATTATGAGTGGCAATACGAATAGTATAAGCAAATAAAACTCAATCACTATTGTGCAAATAAAATTCTTAATTCACATTCAAGCAGTAAAGGTGTTATGATACATTCATACGGTAAATATGCTTGGGTGCGCAAATTTGAGCTGATAAAAAAACACAAAAGAAGGTGTTAACCTAATCACTTAGACTCTTCGTGACATTGATAACATGATTTAAGCTACCATCATTTATATATATATGTATATGTATGAACATACATATATGTACATATTATATGATTTCGTAGACACTTGCCCTGTAGATAAATGAACTAATTACAAATATGTCCAATACTGGTACAATTCATGAACAATTTCTAGTTTAAAAGTATGCTTAAGAGTATGTGTTTTTAGCAGGAAAATTAATGTATATTAGCAACCAATGTTTTCAAATATTACTTTATTAAAATTGTAAGAAGTTGTACAAGTTGGGGGGTTAAGAACAACATATGCCCATAATATGATTTTAGAATTTCATAACAAATTTGTATGAAAAATTAAGATAATATCATAGCATGGTTCGTTACTGATTACAAATTTTCTCTATAAACAATTATTTTACAATTTTCATGTTAAATACAAGCCTTTAAAATGCATCACCAATATTCAGGTAAAAGCTTGTGTTGGTAAATAAAATGCTTTTAAATAATTGCATACAATTGATAGAATTTTTCCGAGAAATATACTAGCAGCTGTGTAAATTCTTAAAAATGTCAATATATATACATACATAACTAAATAAATCAACTAAACTGCTAAATCGTCTGTAGTGTTATATGAAAAATGCATAGCGAATCGTAATAAATAGCTAATTTTAATTATTTTCCTAGACGCATTAAATGATTTGTATGCATATCATTATTCAATTTTATAATGACACCGTAATGAGTAACTCAAAACACATACATATGTAGATATATGTACATATGTATATGTGAATTTATAAACATTCAAACTTTTACTTCAATGATTTTGTCCGGATAATGACTAATGGCAGAATTTGTTTCGCCAACTTGACTTATCATAAACTTAGTAACTCAATTATATAGTATGTACATATGCACCTACAAAATATACATATGTACAAGCATGTTTTAGTTGTGCATTCATATAATATAATTTGAAGTCTGCAATAAAGACCTACATACATGACTTAGCAGTGCTATCTGACAAATTATTTATTTAGATTTAACGCTACAAACATTTTTATGTATGCTAGTGTGTACATATGTATATTTATTTTTCGAAATAACAGACGGCTTTGATGAGGGCTTCACAGAAATGATAAGGCAAATAATTATGTGGGCACTTGGAATAACATCTGAACTCGATTTTGCAATGTGCACACTTAAAATAATGTAAACGTTTATATACAATGAACAGGGAGGGTATATTGAGTTTGTAACATTCTATAAAAAAACATCGGAGACTCTATCTGTTCCCACGACAGACGGGTCTAGGTAACCGGTATGGATCAGAATTTTTTAATCGGCCAAGGGCAGTCAACTGGGTAAAATTCTGCCGCTACAACAATAACAACAGCAACCGTATACAGTATACAGTATGCAGTGTATATATGTAGCTGCGGTCAAAACTGCTGAGCCAACTTGCTTGTGTGCTTTGGGTCATTGTCTTGTTGAAAAATCCAAAGTAGTGGCTTTTCTTCGCGGGCATAGCGTAACATTACTTCCTGCATAAGTCGAACATGTACAGTACGGTCCATGCATTTCTTAAACCAATACATCGGTTCAACTCCATAAAATGAAAAACATGTCTAAATCATAATGGTGGACCTCATATGTTTTGGTGGTGTATTTTGGATTGTTCTCCGAGTTGATTTTTTGTCTCACGATTTTAGTCCAATCGAATTGGTCATTTGTAAATCCACATGTTTTTTTTTTTTGATAACAATGACACTTTTCTTGGGCTATGAGCTTTTAAATCAAAATCTCGCAAACGTCTACGAATTGTTTCCGCACTTGCCTCCAGGCCCAGTTATTTTTTTAGGGCTTCAGGAGTCCGTTTGTATTTCAATATTTCAAGGCATTTCGAATCACCGTCCGGAAACAACTAACAACTTTTTCTTTAATCGCTTTGCCTTTTGAAATAAGTTAAGTTTTTTATAAAAACCCTCTAATAAGCTGTTGCCATTGCTGACAATACTTGAATCAGATTTTTACAAAATTAAAAAAAATATACATACATCAGAAAACTCATTACGTACTTTTGCGAAACTGTACAGCCTCCATTGCATAAACGAAGCCCCGTTTTGTTGGAACTAGATGTTGTCAATATCAACTTCTTCCAATTCCGGCCATAAAAAGTTGGTTTATCATCGTTGTATAAGAAATAAGTACGGCCTGATGATTCCACCAGACCAAAAACCACATCAAACTATCAATTTAGGTGCATGTAATGATTTGCACCAGAATCGACAGTTTTGTTCATTTACCGCACCACTCAGTTTAAAGTGATTCTCATCGAAGATGGTTTTCTACACCAGCAGGACCAACATACCACAACTCTGTTATACTGTAACGAATTTATGTATTTGTGTTCGCCTAGTTTAGAACTATAAACAAAAAACAAACCCATCCATATTTTAAAGACAACTAAAAAAAAGATTATTATGATCTTCCCTTTTTCATACTTTAAATTTTTTACTAAATATTTCTTTTATAAATCTATTCTCTCTCAGGACTGATTGTTGGCGCTGTTATACGCTATGCCGGCACTTCGACGCCACTTGTGCACTTGGAAGTTGATCCAGCAGGTGATCCAAAGTTTAATCAATCTTTGCCACCCGATACGTTATGGATGAAGGTAAAGGCACAAAAATAAAACTTATTTTTTCATCTTTTTCAAAGTATATTTTGCTATTTGCTTCGTTTTTAGTTTCCCGGCAAGTTGGCACCCAATACCACCGATAAAGATCCCATACCGAATAAGACATATGCATATGTTTTTCGCGGCATTGTATACGATGTGGATGAGAATGAAATCGATTTGAAGGCCACATTTGATCCCGAAATCTTTTTCAACATAATATTACCGCCAATAATATTTCATGCCGGTTATAGTCTCAAAAAAGTGCGTAGTTACTCGTTTACAATGTAATCCTGTAATAATATCTGTTCATTTTTATTTTCATAATATATTTTAGAAATACTTTTTTCGCAATTTGGGCGCCATTTTGATGTTCGCCATATTGGGCACGACTCTATCATCGTTCCTAATCGGCGCTATTATGTACGGCTGTGTGAAACTAATGCCAGAGTATTTGAGTAGTAGTTTCACATTCCTGGACACGCTGTATTTTGGAGCCTTGATATCACCAACAGATCCACTAACAATATTAGCAATATTCCATGACTTGCATGTGGACGTAAATTTGTATGCGCTGGTTTTTGGTGAATCTGTACTTAACGATGCAGTGGCCATTGTGCTGAGCGGGTAACTATAACAATGTCTCTTAGTAAAGTAATGAAAGTAATTAAAAATAATTTTGCTGTTATCTTTTAGCGCTATACAAAATTATGGCGAACATTATTCGAGCACAGGAGGTTTCGAAACTAACGCCTTCTTTAGATCATTGAGCGATTTCTTTTGTATTTTTATGCTGTCATTATTGATTGGCGCAACAATGGGCTGTTTTACGGCATTGATATCCTTTAAAAAACAAATCGTTATTTAATTGTTTATTATTATTTTTTTTTTATACATTTTATTTTCCTTTATAAATTGTTCACTTTACTAGACTACCTTTTTTATTATTATAATTTTTTTTTTTAATTCGTACATTGCTTATTTCCTATTAAATCACTGCTGAATGTTTTTT